AGACAAATGCTGTGTATTCATTATGGATGAAGTGCCGCACTTTGATTCCAGAGAAAAAGCAGAATGTTGTGCTTCTTGGGATGCGACTATCAGGAACCAGGGGACAGGACAGTTTGTAGCCAGGGGCAGTTAGGAACTGTGCACATGACATCAGCCCGGGGTGTACACTGATTGGGCCCGGCTCACCCTTCACCACCAGACAGCCCATCTGTCAGAATCCTATGTGGCAAAGCATCTTTTCTTTCCATAGCAACCAGTGAAATCTTCTGTTATGTGCAGGTTGGATAGTGTAAGGAAAAGCGATTGGCACATCGTACTACACAGTCATAACGCTCATGGCGGGGTGACAACATCACTGCAGCATTATAAGGTAGTAGGTGAGTGTTGTCACTCTTAAAAAGGACGTGCCAGGGCTAATGGGATCATTTTTTTTTATTAAATAAAAGCAAATCTATGTAATATGGGGAGTAGTCTTGTCTGCATGTCTTATGGTGTTTGCCTTCTACAGCCCTGTTTTTTGTATATCTCTCGGGGATGCCAGTTGGTGGATCTTGGTTTGAATACCTCCCTCTGCCTGTATGAGGGTCTCCGGTTCTTCCTGGGAGCTTGTGTGGTCCACAATGAAAAAACAGAATAGGAGGAGGAAGCGGCCAGGAGCACCCAAAGCTCCCAGGTGTGTGGGAACTAGAAGTCCCGGCACATTCTTCAGCCTTTGACAGGAGAGTTGGGTGTACAGTGTACTTGTGTACACAACATGCTCACCATGGGTGACGGCCACACTACAAACATATGTAGATCATTCCTTCTGCCAGCTCAGAGTCCTTTCATACCTGTGGCAGGGTCTGGTATGAGAAAGCTTGAGTTTTGGTATGTTTTCTTGTTTCATCACAACGTTGTTATTTTACATTTCGCCCATTGTCATAGTGATGATGAGTTGTTACAAATGTTATACATTTCAGGGAAGAATTGGGAAGGTCCCTCAGCTTAGGGGAAAGGATTTGGGTTCCTCCTTTTGGATCTCTGTGAAACTGATAGATTAGTTTATTCATTTTTATTGCATTTGACACATTTCTGTATTTTTGGGATGGCGCTGTGTTGACTGTCCTCATCTGACGTCATCCCAGACCAATGTAAGGGGCCTGATGGAGAGCACTGCCATGGTCATTTTCCCCATTGGAAGTGCTTTCATTTATTCAAAGTCATTTTGAAGGTAAATTGCGGAAAGCCTGATTCCTGTTTCTCTGTCTTTAGGATAATTGTCTGAATTAGAGGAACCTGGAAGGTGTTGCAGAGGATTCAGGATGTTGGAGCCTTCCTAAAAACGAAAGCGCCGTTCGTTCTAGTTAGCTGCGATTCCCGGATTTCCTATGTTCAGCCTCATGGCAAATTGCTGTCGGGATTTGTTCAAACGATGGCGTCACCCAGTAAGGTAAGAGGTCACATGATTGGTCATCTGCTGGTAACTGACTTCAGCCAAAAGGTTTTGGATAGAGGAATGGGTGACCCTAATGGGGAATTAACCCTTGACGTCTTGTCAGGACAGGAAGTGATGGGAAATCTCTCTAACAACTTCTGATGTGCCTATTTATTGTCAGTATTTACATGGCACTGGTATAAAGACCGCTGCCTGGGTTTGGCCACATTACACACCTACATGACAGGAAACCTTTCTGCTTTCTACACCTATACACACCTTTGTACAACAGGTTTCTGGGTTTTCCCTGGCCTACTGTATGGGCACAGCAGATAAGCTAAAGCTTGCTTAATCTGTATGATCCTGAGTATTAGTTATCTGAGATGTGATATGTAAGCTGCAGCTCAGGTATCTGAAATCACATGACTGGGGAGGCAGAATAGACGACATAACCACTTTGGTCTGTTTAGAAAGAAAAGAAAAACTGTTGAATGCTGAAATATCTCTTAGGCTGCATTTACATGGGGCAGGATTCCCAGGTGTGCCTGTTCAGATGCGTCTGCTGTACCCATTGAAGTAAATGACAGGGTGACAGCGGCCGCATCTGTCAGCTGCAGCCTTAGTACCCAACTGGCTCAGCCTCAATTGGCTTGTTTGCTTACAAGGAGGTAGATATTCTAAAGCTATAACATTCTCAAACAACTTATTACAGGTCTGTAACTGGTCAGAGAATAGCTGCTCTCAGCGCTGTGCCAACTGCTATGCTGATGTGAGTTTTAGAAGGCAAAGAAAACATGTCCTGTAAGGTAGAAAGCCCTTTTTAGTACTTTGTTGTTGGGCAGGGATAGGCAGCCCCGGCATTCCAGCTGGTGTGGAACTACAAGTCCCATGAGGCATTGCAATACTCTGACAGCTACAGACATGACTCCCAGTGGAAGACATGATGGCATTTGTAGTTTTACTGTAGCTAGAGTGCCAAGGTTGCCTACCCCAGAGGTAGTGAAAGGATAAAATGAAATGAAATGCATAGCGTCAATCACTTACAGCTTTCCTGAGAAATGTCCATTGTAAAATTCATAGGCTCCTTTCCTGCATAGACAGGGAGCAATCCTCCTGCAAAGAACTGTTTCACTAAAATGTATACGACTCTTCACAGCTGATCAGGTTCTCAGGAACTTGTCTGTCTGTCTGTCTGTCTGTCTGTCTGTCTGTCTATCTATAAATATATAGATAGATATATTATACAATATAGAAGAAGCTAAAAGAAGGGTTGGGAAAGTAGATGCTGTAGATGTGGTGAAGGCTTGGTATACTGAAGAAGTTACATTTTCTAATCTGGTGTGTCATCTTGCTGCCGGCCTGTTGGGAGGTTAGCCTGATGTGTGAAAGGCTCAGTTGTCATTCAGTACCTCAGAGCATCAATATGAAGGACAGGGATCAATATTACCCATCCAAGATGCTACATTGAAATGTAAAAACATTTAATACAGGTCCTTTTTAATGATTATTTTGCTGTTCGTTTATCTCTGCTAAATGGTTTCATTTTGTGACTTACAGGAAGGTGACTTTGGTCATGGTGGGATTAGACAATGCTGGCAAGACCGCCACTGTGAAAGGAATCCAGGGAGGTGAGTGGTCGGAATCTGTCTGGGGAACATTTGCAAACCCTACTCCAGGAGTAGCCAAACTTCAGCCTTCCTGCTGTTCTGGAACTACACATCCCATAAGGCATTGCAAGACTGCAATGGTAACAGACATGACTTCCAGAGGTGTGATGGGATTTGTGGCTGCACCACAGCTGGAGGGCCGGTGTTTGGCTACCTCTGCCCTTAAACAGTCAACCATAATCACTGCTAAGCAAGAGCAGAACATATCACAAGCAAATATGTCTGAGTGCATGTGCAGGGCAAATGAAATGGGAAAACTAACTCAAGCAGGATTTTTTTTCTTTAACAAACATTAAAATTAATGTAAAACCAAAGCTGGCACCACCTCAACACCCAGCTCGATTGAAACATCGACTTTTGTCAAGGGTGTCAGGTGGAAAATTGTCAGCAAACAGCCATTGCAGCGAATCAGCTGTAGTCACCATTTGGGTATTCAGCAGGGAAGATTCCTCCATCCACACTCTGTAGCATGGCGTTTTTTCCCTCCGATTGAGATAAATTTAGATATTCTAAAAAGACAACAGCTTTTATTTTTAGCTAAATATTCTCATGTTGCATTGCCTTGTGGGTGGTTTTGCTATGTTTGGGGCCAGCATTTTCTCAACCACGGCAGCCAATCAGAATTTCTTTATTTTCGTAGTACAGGTTAGACAGTGGCAAACTCCTGAGCTGCCATTTTCTGACCTCAAGGTTTATTAAATGACCCTGACCCTTTGGCTCCTTTCTAACAGAATCCCCGGAAGACGTGGCCCCGACAGTAGGATTCTCCAAAGCAGACATCAAGCAGGGAAGATTTGACATCACAATATTTGACCTGGGCGGTGGCAAGCAGATCCGGGGTATCTGGAAGAACTACTATGCTGAGTCCTATGGAGTGGTGTTTGTTATCGATTCCAGTGATGTAGACAGGATGGAGGAGACCAAGGAGACAGTCGCTGAAGTCCTGCGCCATCCCAGGATCTCTGGGAAACCAGTGCTGGTGTAAGTAAGGGCAATGGTAAAAGCAGCTGATGTTTGGAATAAAAGGGATGTCTGTTAGGCAGAATCTTCTGTTGGCTTTAATTGAGGAGATATTCTAGTTTCTGACTCCCTGTCCTCTTAGCTTTGGGTGTTCTAACCTACTTTGGGATATTCTATGTCCTCGTGCTGCATTGTCTGTGATATTAACTA